TTAACACGAACATCCATTACTGAGCGTCTTAGGTCAGACGATACGATTATCAAATCGATCATCAACTTCTACGCACAAGCTTCACTGTACGAGGTATACTGATGCACTTTTCGATGCTCGAAGAAGGTGTTCATAATGGTCAGTGCGTTGTTTGCACGAAACCGCAACAACTTCATGCCGTTATCGTGGAGGTCGGTAGGATCGTTTTCTTCCAATCACGCCGTTCCACTTTTCAGCATATTTTCCGATATGCGCATTGAAATCGCCAATGAGTTTGAGGGACTATGTATTCGGCAGTTCGTACAGAGCACACTGCACTTCCTCAAGGAACGTTTTATATCCTCCGTCCAAATTGTGCGCACGGACCTGTAACCAAGGTGAAGGTTTGGACTGTTGTGGCGTTGGTTTGAGGATTACCACCCTTTCGCTGACAGGCTTCCAGTGAATGATTCTATCAGGGAGATTGGGTTCTGCCAGAACAGGAACTTCGGGCTGAGCGCGCGTCGTGATATCGACGCCTGGGTAGAATAGCTTCCATCCGCTGAGGTTCAGGAGTCTATGGCCTCGGCGCTTCGTTGACGAGTGTCCAACAATGTCGAGTTTGTACTTTATGGCTTCATTAACTAGCTCTTGTTCTTTTCCTCTGAGTTAAGCAATGTTCCAATTTGCGACATTAAGCTCCCACCGGTGATGTAGTTCTCGTCGACCCTTTTCTGACGTGCTATAATGTCATCGCGCTGTCTGCCTCTTCCGTTCAGAACGGTATGATCGTGGTCATTACGTCAGTCTTCGTCAGCCGTCGTAGCGCTGCTACGACCCCGGCTGCAGAGGGCAATGAGCAGGTTCTGATCGCCGACTTTTCGCGGTCTGCCTCAGTCCGCAAACAGCCTGAGCGGCCCTTGGCAATCGGGGCGACGACCGAGGTGGTATAATTTTCGATGGCATCAATACCATGAGTGGCAGGTGGCTATATTTTACGGAGACTTTGCCACGGTCTCTAACCCTCTTTCTTTCACAATGGGGCTTGGGACCGGCAACGGTGGAGTTCCAAGGCACCATGCTATCCTTATTTTTCGCATGTCATCGAACTACTATCGGTTTTATCGGCTGGTTTCACGGCAGCACAGTGGGGTAAATTCCTCACTCAAGGAAATGATAAGATAATTAGAGAACTTTCACTTCTCGCGCTGTGTTTGATTCTGCACCCTAACCTGCAAAGGAACCTACGTATCAACTGCACTACTGCTAACTTTTCTAGTTTTAAAATCGGCCGGTTTATTCTTGTTTGATTAGCTGTTTTCTTAGCAGGCACAGCATCACGATGAAAACGCGCAGTAGAAAATGACCTCATTGATAGAACATGATAACTATATTGTTTTAGTTTATTTAGGGTTTATGTCATTTCATAAATATGGATTCGTATGTCGACATATTTAGATAAGCGTATTACTACACCGAATCGGCCGTTTAAACAGGCCAAAAATCTGTCATGATTCTATGTAATTGAATATCATTAGTGCGCTGATGAATCTTGTGTCATTCTGTTGACTAGATTAATACTTTGCTCCCTACTAGCGGTTTCAGAAGCCGGTACCTGTTTTCACTTGAATTCGTAGTTACGGTTTCATACCAGTGACTGCTTAAATTCTCCAAAGTTTAATTTTGTAGCATATTTCATCACCTCAGGCAAAGTAGATGGAGAGATTGTGCATTTGTTAAGATGTTCCCGCGTACTAACATATATTTTTCAAGGTTTGAGGCAGCATAAAAGTAGTGTGAGCTCTAACGAAGGTACTGTTCTCACGAATAAAATTCAGATGTTGCGAAATATTCACATACCATAGAACCTTGTCCTCCTTAAATGACTCCGTGAATATTGGTGAACTCTGGTTTTGCAGTAACTATACGCTTATCAGCTAATGCAATTATGATGAGCTTTCAGGCTTTACATAACCGATTTATAGCTTATCTGTATCCATTTAGAGGTTTCACCGTTTAACTGACGCGGCTACATCAACCCATTACAGATCCTTCTTGCGTTTCATATTAGACTGGTGAGATCTGTATTAATGCTTTCGCTTCCGCTGAAAGTGACAGGAACTGCTTACGTCTCGCAACAAAGCCATGAACCTGATACAAGTGAAGGCTCACCATCCAGATGAGGGGCAACCACGTCAATTTAGCCTATGCTATAGTCTCGATCTGCAATACGAGAAAACGAAATAGTGCATTACTCGTGTAACAAATTTGATATGGTCTGAGTAGAACCATCGTGACTATGGAATCTGAAAGCGAGAAATTGAAATCTCTCACCAACATGCGGACAGGAGTACAGGTAGTGACAAGACCACAGTGTTTCAGCTTGATTTAGATATTGTTTCAAGTGTTAAGGTTACGGAATCTTAACCCTGTTTGATATAGGGTTTTGCTGTCCTATGTCGACCCGACGGTCTGTGCCCAAACAAATTTAAGGATATTGGCGAATTCTGAACTAGACAAGAAAGTTATTGAATGGGTCCTCATCAGTAGCAGTTAATCGTGAGTTACATGAAGGCCAAACGCTGCGAGTTAGGTTGATGCAGCTCTTTCATAGCTAGAGTACGCAGCTTCATTGGATTAGTTAGATTGCACGCTTAGCAGTGCCCGGAATGCTGAATCCGTTCAGTAGCAGACTTTAATGGGCATATATTATCTTAACGAAATCGATGCTACCAAAAGCATAGGTCTGCTGTCAAATTCTTTGGGTTTTTATGTATAATCTGTTGAATTGACTTTTGTCTTTAGTATATTTCAGGTTTTCGGCATTGAAACAGCAGAAATTTCAATATTTCTTTAGCGTTGATTATGGACTTGTAGTTTTTCTGAAATTGTTTTAGACTTATTTAAAATGTTTGTCTTAATCGTTACGTTTGAAAAAAAATGTTGTGAATTCTAACGGATAAATAAAACACAGCCGAATTAAAGTCTGTTGTTGCCAGTGTCTAATTTTTGTATTTTAGTCGTTGACAAAGAAGTGCATTATATTTGAGCGAACAACTTTTATGCAGACATTGTTTTTAATCCACGAGTTGATATTTCAATTTGACCTGATTTAACGATATATAATTTATTTATATCTAGCTTTGATATGCATTTTGTGATTGGCTGTCAGTAATTTCCGTACTATTTTAGATACAAGTTTGGCAGCGCTGAAGGAATGTTATTGTGTTGGACTGGTGTATGGAATAGTTGGGATAGTGACTTTGACAGAACCAGAAAGTGAAAAGTACTTGCTTGTGATAAGTAAACGACGATTTATTGGTAAGCACCCGTTGAATAGTGCTGAAGTTTACGAGATCGTCAAAGTCGCTGCTTTGCCGATAGTGCACACCTGTCAGATCGATCATTCACAGTTTGACACTTGCCCTGAGCACGCAACTAAAGTTTTCAAGTTCTGTAGCGAATCTTTTAACAAAGCAGCGTTCATAAAGAAAGTTGCGGACAAGACTGGCAACTTCCAGTTCGGTGCGTCGAAAGGTATCCGCGACAGACTGTTGGATGAAATACTCCAGCTGTTCAACGAATACGGATCGTTTT